TTTGTTAGTTTATGAGTGGCCACACCAATTCAAACAAGTGGTCTCAGTAATCTTGTATCAGTAATCTGATACACCTTCTTTATGTGTGTTAGGATGATGCGTTTATTGATTTCTGTCGATCACTTTGTAATTGATGATGTACGGGAGAGGTATCTTGTGATAATAAAGTTTCGTGGGTAGCCGTTCTTCTTTGTGGTGGACATCAAGTAATTTTCGTTGTTTCTCCGTGAAGTTGTTGTACTGTAATATGTTCTCGCTCGTCTAAATAGAGTCTGCACGCAAGTGATTTTGTGTGTTGTTGCTATTGTAATTGAAGATTTGGTCAGTGTGTGCTAGCTTCTTGTACACTTGGGTTTCCAGCTTCCCCATATTTGTTCTATTGACCAGAACATCCAGGAATGATAATTGGTTGTTTGACTCCTTCTTCATTGTGAATTTGATGTCATTGAAAACATTGTCGATCAAACTGTGGGTGTTCTCTATATCATTTCTTTTAATGATGACAAAAGTGTCGTCCATATAGCGAATACAAATTTTTCTCTTCATCAGAGGTAGGATGATGGCTTCCAGCGTCTGTATCATTGTTTCTGTGATCCCATTGGAGTTCATTTCATCTGTTTGAATTGGAAGTATGTTGTCAGACAAAGGTTGAAGAGTTCCATAAGACTTGAACATTTGAGTTTTGTGCATTCTGAAAGGTTTTTGTCTTCATTTATAAGGAGGGATATTGTTTCCTTGGCCAACTCAGAGAACATAATACAACCAAGACCATCCACCTGAGCTACAAATATTCTCCATCACTTTGAAAAGTCCCCCCGTCATCAGGCATACACTCTCTTTGTTAACTTGACTTGGAACAACATGTCAACAAATCTGCAGTCATTAATTGAACATTTCTTAGTCCACACTCCAGGCTTCAAATACAAATTACGCTTTATGCATAGGTTAAGCTGGAAATAAAGCTTGTAGTCATACTAAAGGCTTCTAAGTGTTTGGGATTGCTGAGGCGAAGAATAGATGTCACTAGGCTGTTGTCTGTATTATTAAAATTCAGTGTTCACGTCTTGATCACTTATAGCTTCTCATTATGTTCACTAAAGCGTCTAGACGTAAGCCAACATATACTTATGCTGACTTCTTCATTGAGGGGTGTCTGAATAGGAACAAATGATTCCCTTTACTATGTAAGAGTCCAGAGTGTTTTTTGATAGATATCCCTGAGGTATATGTTAATCGCGTTCACGTTGGTGTTGAATGTAGGTGAACTGCTCTGAAATGGTTTTTAATGATAAAAAACTCTAGTTGTAGTTCACCTGCTACACACTTCTACAATACATGTCCATATGGCTTCATATCAAGACACTTTTACTTACTAATTTCGAAACAGTAGATACTGAAATTTGCCTTGTAAAATTCAGTGAAAATGTTTACTACACTCATCATCCATGGTAAGCATGTAATCACTAACAGTTGTGGAATTCTATTAGTATCTTGACTGACTAGGTACCTGGCGATTGGAAGAAGGGTTACCTTGTCAAACTGCCGAAGAAGGGAGACCTCAGTGTTTGCAAGAACTATCGAGGAATCACTCTCCTGTCCACCCAATGCAAGCAAAATATTAAGCCGCATCATCCTGGAGAGGCTTAAGGATGCACTGGATTCAAAACTACCACAGGAACAGGCTGGCTGGCTGGCTGGATTCGAGAAGTACAAATCATGTCTGCATCAAATTGCAACGCTACACTACATATCATCATAGAACAGAGCATATAATGGCAGTCAACTCTCTCTCTCTCTCTCTTCCTCTACCTCAACTTCATCGACTTTGAGAAGGTCTTTGGCAGCGTCGACTGAGAAGCAATTTGGAAACTGCTTCATTACTACGGAGTACCGCAAACCCTTATCCGCCTCATTCAACAACTATATGAAGATGCCACATGCCAAGTAATTTACAATGGGAAGCTCAGTGATGCTTTTGAAGTGAAGACAGGAGTGAAACAAGATTGCCTACTATCCCCCATGATATTCGTGATTGTGGTCGACTGTACTGGATCATGCAGCAAACAGTGGGGAGCTGTGAGAAGAGGGGGATATGCTGGCTGACTGGACTGCGGAAAAGAACCTAGAAGATCTGGATTTCGCCGACGATGACTTGTGCCCGATGTCACACAAACTTGAAGATCTACAGGCAAAAACTAACAAGTTGACAGGAGAAGCAGGGCAGGACAGCGAAGACGGAACTTCAAGTGAATGTAGAGAAGACAGAGGTGATGAAGATACCACACCAACAACTCCAACAACAACAACAACAAACTCCAGTCACCATCAACGGGAGAAACTGAAAGGAAGTAACCTCCTTCACCTATCCAGTCAGGCAGCACTGTTTCAACTACACGCTGCACAGGCACAGACGAGGATGTCAAAGCCAGCCAGGATCGGAAAAGCAAGACAAGCGTTCATTAGCCTGAAACCAGTGTGGAGATCTTCTGCACTGCACTCAGTATGTGGAACAAGATCCGGAATTTCAACACCAATTCAGTCAAGTCAAGTCAGTGCTTCTGTATGGTTGAGAGACTTGGCGCGTTACGAAAGGGATTTCCAATAAACTACAGACACTCATCAATAACTGCTTACGCTGGCTCGCTACTGAAGATCAGATGGATTGCCAGAATGGAAGGAATAAGCAAGAAGGAGGTCTGGGAACGAACCAACCAAGAAGCTATGACTGAACAAATATGCACTGGAAGGAAGTGGAGATGGATTGGGCATGCACTGAGAAGGCCGACTGAGGACATCACGCGTCAGGCCAGTTGCTCGAGTGGAATCCGCATGGGAAGTGACGAGTTGGTTGTCCGAGGTGAGGGTGACATGGAGGAGGTCGTGCGAGGAAGAAATAAGAGGTTGTGGTCTGTCGTGGAACCAGGTTGAAAAGATCTCAGAGAACAGAGGTCACTGGAGACGTGCTACTGAATCCCTATGTTCCATTAGGAACCCAAGGGACTAATAATAATAATAATAATAAAATCTTGACTGACTGACTGACTGACATGAGTACTTGGAAAGCATTCATATCAACCATCAATCTTTGCTGCATACATCGAGGTGATCTGCTAGGCATGTTCATTGTGTTCTACTTTAGTCGACAAGTTAACCACCTAGCTAGTCCATCTCATATATGAAATAATCGAGTTTAAATGTTTATTTTTTCAAATATTAAAGGGAAATTTTATTCATGACAAAGGAGATTTTGAAAACTGTCAGTATAAAAGTGGTTCAATGCTCTATCAGGATCTATTGAAGAAAAAAGGTTTCCCGATAGGAGATATGATGATTGTGTACTAATTGGTCATTGGAGAGTAACGAACTTCCTGCTGTTTAATCCTAAATGCTGATCAAATTCTGTTGGTCATTTTATAATGTAGTCACCAGGCTAGTTGAATCAATATAGCGATGCATTTTGATAGGTGTTAATTCGAATCTCAAGCGGGACATCAGTTCCATTGAGGTTGCAGATACACCTAGTTGACGAGTGCCAACAAGCACGGAATCTAGGTCTACGGTTTCCTCTAAATTACTTCCATCGAACTAGCATACCTATGAAGTTTTGTATCATGTGTTTATCCCATCGAAACGGTTAATATATATATATATATATATTCTCTACTTTTCGTGTATATGATAAATGGATATTCGTGAAGTGAGTAATTGTCGCTCCATTCAATTACACGATTTCAGTCTATACATTCACAAGCTAACCAGTTCGGTAAAGTTCGTTTCAACATTTAGGCTGTTTATTTAAATGACTGATTAGGATGAGAATATATGAAGAGATTCACATAGTTACACAATGACTCTGATTCCTTAAAGTGCATCAAAGAGTTATGTAACTACTAGATACGTATGATTACACATCTCGATATTCTTGGTTGCATTGTGTTCTCTGAGCTGAGTTGTTTAATCGTGAAGATTTTATCGTCCTTCTAGACGACAAAATCAACTGGAATAACTGTAGTCAATACTACATTGGACAAAGTGGTCACCCATCTTCACCTTCGTCATTTACATGAACACCAATTGGCTATTAAACGTCACACATGACATTTCATCACTCATCACACTGCACGTGGATAACAACTATGCACATGAATTGAATTTGGACAATGTAGACATTTTGGATGGGTAGAGGAAACACAAAGAATATGAGAGAATTCCTATAAGCATGGCATTCAGATCAGTCAGTCAATCAATCAGCAATCAACAGATGTATGGGCATAGACGACCCAATCTATCAACTGGTGAGAAAAATGATAAACGACAGAAAGGTGAAGAGGGGTGAAGTAGAGGAACAGCGAACAGGAAAGTCTATACAATGAATGACACGACAATCGAAGGAAACAACCAATCACAGACCACGTTGTCAGAGCAAGTCAGTAAATCACTCATTCACGGAGATATATTGACAGTTCACTTCATACTGATGTTAGTGTTGATGATGTCAGTGTGTAGAAGCGAGACGATGAAGGCTTCACGACTAAACAATCTAGCTCAGAGAACACAATACAACCATGATCATCACTCCTGAGCTACAAATATTCTCCATTATTTCATCATCTCGATGTCTTCTACAGCCAGAAGTTAACTTCATAATTCCTTGTATTTATTTATTGTTTACTTCGATTTGGACCCAAGAATTGTTCGTCTACTTAAACTCATGTTGGTTGTATTCAACAGATTTTGCAACACACAATCACTTTATTGTTTCCTTATAGACTAAACATCTAACTGTCTGTTCAGGAGGTGAAAGCCATACGTTTCAATGTCTAGTTCACAGCAGTTTATTTGTCGCTTTGCTATGAGTGAAGTAATCAGCCGATACCAATATAAATATTCGTAGTGGTATTGTTCTTATAATGATAGTAAATACTTGTTAACTTGTTAATGTAAAGTAATACAAGTATGATGGTAGGAGAGTAGCAGGATACGAGAACATCAAGAAATTGTTAGCTACAACTCCTATAATCATCATCATCATCATCATCATCATCATCATCATCATCATCATCATCATCATCATCATCATCATCATCATCATCATCATCATCATCATCATCATCATCATCATCATCATCATCATCATCATCATCATCATCATCATCATCATCATCATCATCATCATCATCATCATCATCATCATCATCATCATCATCATCATCATCATCATCATCATCATCATCATCATCATCATCATCATCATCATCATCATCATCATCATCATCATCATCATCATCATCATCATCATCATCATCATCATCATCATCATCATCATCATCATCATCATCATCATCATCATCATCATCATCATCATCATCATCATCATCATCATCATCATCATCATCATCATCATCATCATCATCATGATCAGTGCACGAAGCCTTGGAAGTAGGTTTCATACTTGTCAGCACTTGTCAGCAAGGTGTATCTGTAACCTCAACAGAACTGATATCTCATCTCAGATTCCAAATGCCATCAGCGTCTTCATGTTGTCTCCTCCTCTGTACTGGTCGAATTCTACACATCACTTTGTTATGTGGCCCGCCAACAGACTAGGCAGCTCAGTCAGCATCACGATGTACCTTTATAGGTTAGTGTTAGTTGGATGGAAGCAATCAGCAAGTAGTCATACTTCGGCTAATCTCGTGTTGTTGGCACTCATCAGCAAGGTGTATCTGGAAGCCCACCTGAGATTCCAACTCACGTCATCTATCAGAATGCTTCATGATGTTGAGCTAGCTGCCTAGTCTGGTGGCCGACCACATTGCAAAATAATTGATAGAATTCAGTCAGCCCTGAAGACTAGACAACATGAAGTCGGTTATCCACCAGTCAATATAACAGTTAAGTCTATTTTATTGCTTGTAATTTCTCATCGTTAACTCGATTGTCATCTTTTGATACATTCGCTTGTCCTTGAGTGACTCGATATTGCCTGTATCTTCAATTCTGTTATCACTGATGGTGGGTGGCTAGTGGTGGAATTCACGAGGAACTGTTCATACATCTTCCCTGTCCCGAATACGATGATTCCACTCTTGATTTATCCTTAGAATAACTGGTTCTTCAAAGTAAATATCTTCTCAGTATTTACATTGTTCACTATTATGTTCCGTCATTCCCACTTCTTCCTATGTCAGAGATCGTGATGTGTAATAGTTCACTGAATCATTTCCAATCTACATCATCTTGATACTATGACTCAATCGTAAAACGAAAACTCACCCACTTGTGTTTATCCTCAATATGAAGTGTGTAGTGAGTAGATGATTTGTAAACTGATCTCTTTCAAGTGCGACTAGGATCAGATTATCAAGGTCTATAATAATTAATAATTATATTATTCCGGGTACATTGTGAATGAGTTTGATCGCAAATACACAGAAAAGCTTTCTGACTACTGAAATCTACTACTTCAGTACAACCAGGTCACTGGTGTTCACTGATTATTTTCACTAGTATACTGTAGACTTAACATCTCACTTGATTTATATCGCGTTTGTGAAACTGTCTGAATATGATAGAAAGGTAACTTCATATTGACTGAAGATTATTTCAAGCTGAAATGATGGAATTAATCTATCACTGATTGGTGATAAGCGGCGATAGTTGATCCCCCTAAGTTTCAATGAGAAGTCGTGACGAGTGGAGTCAAGCAAGTAGAACATGAGGATAGTTATTCAACGACAACAGTGAATGTAGGTCGTGCCATATATTGTGAAGTGAGAGAAGTTGGAAATGTGGAGGATTGGAATGTGTCCGATTGGGTGAATGGTAAAGTGGTGTCCATGGAATCTGGAAGTTGTGTGTTCCCACTGCTGACAAGTTGTGTCTATCAGTTCTCCAACTGACTTTATTTCTTGGTGAGGACTGTTCTCCAATAAATGGAAGCGTAAATATCATCAACTGATTGAATAATTTGTCTTGAACAATATCTGGTTAGTGTGTAATTCATTGGCTTAATAGATAAGAGTGAAACATATGAAGTTGTAAGTGTTGAGTATGCGGTTTAGTGTTGAAATGAAAAGAGGAGATAGATAGATCCCCTGATTGTCAACAGACGATAATAATCCAAGCCAGCAATACTATGTAGGGAAAGGGCTGTTGGTATATCAACCTTGGCCAATCACTTCAGTCACTGTAGACAGGCACAACATGAAATTTTAATCTATGAGTATAGTGTAGTTCAACTTTTCCGGTCATCTCGTCAGTTTGAATCTTGTACTTCACATGTTCGTCCACAAAATCTCATCGAAATGGTAGCCATAGTCGAATATGAATATTGTGACTGAAGTGATTCACGCTATTTCCAAGTAATCATATGTCTCATGAGACAGAGTGTTCCTAGTTCGAAAGGTTTTACTGCATCACTGTAGCAAAGTGGTAAAATCATGGAACTGCCCTGATGTATGGCATCCGTATCGGATGAATTTCAAAAGAATATTCAGGTTACTAGTTGGTGGATGGCAAGGAAACTAATACATCTCACTGACTAAATGATACCATAATGACCACGAAACCTGAAGGTGTTGGATTCGAAACCTGTCGGGGTTGTGTCCTCACTGATGACAAGTCCATAGCTTTTTCTCAATTGCTTCACCAACTGGTATTAATCTGTGATGAATAACACGGTGAAGTCTTCCCTCTCCTGAATATTTCACTTCTGGTAGTTTGCTAAGTATTGATTCAGAGGAGGAGGATGACGAGAAGGGGATGAGTGAACAGTTTACTTACAGCGCATAGAATAAACAAACTGTGTCAGAGGAATGATTGACACTTCCTAACGAATACAGTGATAGAGGAGTATTTTACATTCCCCCAACCCCCCACCCCACCCCTCTTTTCTACTGGTCACTCATCATGAAAATGAAAGTGGGATGACACTCAAAAATACTCAGATAGCTCATCTACAAACTATCCAACATTACTTCATGAAAGCGTTTCAAACATAAACAAAAGGTGACTCCTTTGCAAATATATCATGGTAAAAAACACGTCAAATAAAGGAACATATCAAAGTGTGAAATAATGTAACCTGACATCTGTTAACAAGTATGAATAATTGAACGTTATGTCAGAGCATTAAGGGGATACTGGGAATGAGTGGAAAGAGATATACTTGTGAATGTCTTCTTTGTTTGAGAAACTAGAACTAAGTGCCTAGTAGACAGTTGGAATGATCACTCCAAATAAAAATGTGTTTCAGAGACAGGATGAGTGTTTCCTGTAATGTTTCACGAGATAAGGACATCGGGTAATCAGAACAAAGTGATATTTCTACCCACATGATAACATTATTATGAAGATGGATTGATTCATCGACTAATTAGATAATTGGGACGTTTGAAGTTGACTACTCATTAATTTGTTAGTAGATGAAGTAGGTAGGGATGATGCATTTTTAGACTTTTGTTACAAATTTCTTAATCGCCAGCAAACTCGTCGCCTTCATTTGTGAGTAGCTGGGACACGAACGAGTACATCACACCAGCATAGATTCTAGTTGACAAACACTCATCACTTGCATGATATCTTGTCTCAATGTGAACACAAATGTCCTAATCACCGTTTCTCATGATATTGACTGTTGCGGATGGCAGTTGTTTCCCAGAAACCTACCATTCATTATTATTCATTGACTCCATTTCACACGTTACAAATGTTATTCACCTGTTATCACATCTGTCCAAACTACACTATCGGTATAAATAATCGACTGTCTTGCGTTGTCTAGGTAGCTCTTATTAGTTATAAATATCACTCAAATTTACTATGTCATTGTTGATTACCCTGACTCCTGTCAACTTTTGTCGTGATTCTGAATCCAGAGTGGCTGACAATCACTTAGTTTTATCCACCATCACAACAGAGTAGTATAACTTCACTGCAAGACTACAACCTTGTAGGTAGCTAGCTAGCTAGCTCATATCCCAAATAAAATTCCACATATATACATGAAATTCACGGATTCTCTTTCCTTGTAGACAATGAAGAAATGAGGTTGCAGATTGATCATTTATTCAGTCAAAATAGATTTTCGATGATTACAGCTTGTGAGTATTTGTTACCTTCTACTGTCTATTAGGTATTGATGAAGGAGACAATGGGAATAGGAATGATTTGGATGAATGAACAAGTGATAGTTAACTTTGAAGAAAACAAAACAATTTCAAAGGAGAAATGTTTGTATTTCAATTGGTTTTCTCTCATACATGACTCTCTATACTGAAATGCAACATTTCCAGAATACAAAGTAGTAAACTAGTCTACTGGGCATATTTGATTAAGAAGAGATTATCAATCTGAAAGTTTCAAGGAATTACTAATTATTGGAGTTAATTCAACCAGTAGTAGGTAAGGTAGGCTAACACATTAATTACATAATAAACTTTATGAAACTTGAAACAGATTGTTACATAATTGATAGTTTGTACAACAGTGGCTAACACGAAGAGAAGGAAGGAAACAATGAAGATGATAATAGTGAATTGGGTAAATAAATGAAGACTTGATAGGAAACAAAAGAGAATTAAGTTCATGATAGAATAAGCAAAGCAAATGAATATAGATTACTCCTGTTACGAAGATGATTGTTTAGCATTCTCTCTCAGTAGCCACTGTATTTCAGATAGTGTATGATTCACAATTCTAGAAACAGAAGTTTACATTCATGATTGTGCCTGGAATCCAACCCAACATGATCAGATTTCATAATGACCTTCAGAGATTTGCTGGGAATATTAGATATCTGTTCTGTCCTGTGATGGGACACCACATCAGAAATTTTCCCAGTTACATATAGGCGAAATGAATCAACCCGTAAGTGGATAATAACTGGACTCAACTGATTTCACATTATTATAATACTAAGCATTATCATTATTGTCATTATCAATGTCCCTTGACTTCCTAGTGGAACATAGGTCTTCACTAGCACGTTTCCATTGCACTGTATTGTTTGCAGTCTCTTCAAACTGCCGCCACGACCACCCACAAGCTTCCATTTCTTCCTCACATCATCCCCTCCATGTCACCCTCACATCGAACGCTCAACTCGTCGCTTCCCATTTGTATTCCACTCGATGACCAAATCCATGTGTTGTTGAATTTCAGTCAGTGACATGAGAGAGAACATGAAGACGAATATCGTAGACTTTCAATTATTTGACACAAACACATGCATGTAGAAATTCAATGTGCCTAGTCAGTCAGTCAGTCATGTTGTCTTCATGAGATTAGCTGAAATGTGTGTACACATGTGTACTCCATTTGTACATTTGAATGAGGTGATGTCAATCTCTCACTGAACTGGCAAATCAGCAAGCGTTTCCACGCTGATAAATTCTGGTAATCATTCTTCATCAACTACATCAATGGAATCGATTGTTAACGTATCAAG